TATATTTTTTTAGTTGCCCAGATAATTTCTATTTTTTGGTAGAGGTGGGGTCTCACTCTTGTTCAGGCTGGTCTCGAACTCCTGACCTTGAACGGTCCGCCCGCCTCGGCCTCCCAGAGTGCTAGGATTACAGGCGTGAGCCACTGCGCCCAGCCGGCTTTTTGATTTTTCGTTTTTACTTTCCACATAACCATTTAAAGCTATTTAGCTTGAAATTAAATTTTATCAGCCTACCAACATGTTATTCATTAAATAAATACATTTATTGAAAACTTATACTGTTGTATAGGCACCATACAGGGTATTGTGATTATACTGATGAGCAGACCAGACGAGGAATTTCTGTCCCCATGGAGCTTATGGTCTAATAAAAATAGCCAGGAGGCAGTAGGAACAGGTCTTGGGCCTCTGGGGCTCATAACCAGCCTCTCAAAACTGGGCTGAGAAGAGGGTTAATCTCCTTTGCAAGTACATGGCCCAGAACTCTCACCCTGGCATGAAGCTTCGGAAAACTGAATCTTTGCTGAGGTATGCTGAGAGCAAATTGCTGTACTCATGGGGGTTCTGCACATTTCCTATCTTTTGTCACAATTTGATGTTTATTCTTTAAGAAAAAGGAAAAATTCCAAAAACCATAAAATGGCACTAGCTTTTTCCCATTTTAGTAAATTATTAATGCCTAACTGATGATCAGAACAATGAATCTAATGTTGTCATGCATGTTTCCAAACTTTGTTTTGCAATATATTATTGTCTAAAAATTTTTACACGCAAATTTAGACCAAGATTTATCAATAGAAGGAAAAAAATTAGAAACCATTAACATTATGGATGTTATATATACTACCCTGGTAAAAATGTTTTTATAGATCATGTTGTCATCCATGCTTTATGAATGTTGACTCCAGTAGCCTATTTTTTAATAACTTTTTTTTAAAGCAGTTTTTTTACTAAGATTGTTAATTTTTAACACCAGTTGGTGGCACTAGAAACCTGAAATTTTTCAAGGATGAACAAGAGAAATAATTGATAAAGTATCCAAATATGAGGAATCTTCAGGAAAATAAATGAAAAATATAATTGTATATAAAAGATGTATTTTTCTTCTGGAATGGAATTCTTTTTAAAAATGCATATGGCTGTCCATTTTGACTGCAGTGATGAAACTTGTTTATCTTCCAGAGGACATATATATATATATATGTGTGTGTGCACTGTACAGATAATCTTTAATTTGATTACATTGTTCATTTTGTAAATATGTTTCTGTATAAAATGAAGCTTTTCAAGAGGATTCTATGTATATATTGTACTTATTAAATGGGTAATGCCTGTTTACCAAGTTGTATTTTGATGGCATCTTTAATTATTTGTTTACGTACACATCCTAAACAGATGGATTCTCCAGACTTTTGGAAAGGCGAATTCAAATTGCTCGAAGTTTCTTTTTCAATCCAGCCTGGGAATCTTTTCTTTCCATATTTGTCTTTATTCTGTCAATACGATTAGAAGTCAGTGAACAATAGTAAGCAGATTAAGTTGAATGCCGGGTTGTATTTTAAATTTTTGTTTAAATTATTGATAGTAAAACTTAACCTTTTACAAGAGGCTAATCCAGGGTTGGACATGGTGGCTCATGCCTGTAATCCTAGCACTCTGGGAGGCTGAGGCAGGAGGATCGATTGAGGCCAAGAGTTTGAGACCAGCCTAAGCAAGAAGGAGACTCCATCTCTACAAAAAATACAAAAATTAGCCAAGCAAGGTGTTGCTTCACACACCTGTAGTCCCAGCTAATCTGGAGGCTGAGGCAGGAGAATCGCTTGAGCCCAGGAGTTTGAGGTTGCAGTGATCTATGATGATGCCACTGCATCCTAGCCCAGGTGACAGAGCACGACTTTCTCAAAAAAAACAAAAGGCTAAGCCTATAGATATGTGAAAATTTCTAATTGAATTTGACGAGCCAGTGATGTATTCAGATGTTCCATAAAACTATGGAACTTGTCCAAGTTGTCTGGCTTTAATAATACAGAACTAAATATATTCAATAAGAAGTTACAAAAATGGCATTAATTTAATCATGTTAATATGTGTGATGGGGTATGTTGTATCACAAGATGTTGGTTCCCATTTCTCTGACAGTTCTGGTACACTTAAATTATGCCATGTAGCTTAATGAGTTCACTACCGGAAAGAATCCCCTGAAATTAGGATCTGTAGAATAAAGGTAAAATTAATAGAGTAGGGAAAGTTTTCCGGACATCCTTAGTAATCTGCTTTCAGTAGCCTGTAGATTTGTTTGCAAGAGAAAGGAATATTTAGGGGAAGAGGTTAAACTGAGGAGCTGTTGGCTTGTGGTTCTTAACTTAGGTCCATGTAGCAGGAGAATAGTGACTTGAACCGGAGGTGGTAATTATGAACAGAGGCTTTAATAGCTCCTTTCTATTAACTATGCCCAATACCATACAGATGGTCAGTGTGACCTGAAGTCATCAGATTGGTAAGGCCATTCCGATGAACTTATATCCAAGTCTGTTTTTTCTTAATGAAGTCAGCTTAAATTAATGCAGAATGAGTACCTGCTCCTTCAGGACTGGCGACTCAGGAGGGCTCCTCTGTGCCTGACCAAAGCTAATGCAGTTTTAATGATTGG